GCGAGCAGAGAAATAGAGATGTTTAAGCGATTCGCAATGGCATTTGCGAATTAATTTAATTATTAATTTAATTAATTTAATTCGTGTGGTACCCATTTTCCCTCCTTTTGAATTTTTCCCATTGCATGTAGACGTTTGGAAACAGCCATCGGAGTAACATTTAATGCTGCAGACAATTCTTGAAGCGTTGAGTAAATCGCTGAAACCATACTTGGCATCGAGCTTAATTGCCGATGGAGCATAATTGCCATAAGCTTCGAAAAGCAATTTATGAGCTGCAGCTGCAGTTTTTTTCAAGTCAAAGTAATGAAGCAGCACATGTCGAAAAAACAACTTATCACGTTCCATATTTAATCAAAAGAAAAAATAGCACTGCTCGCTTAAATGAATCTCTTCGCACTGAATTTTATTGACAAATGTCTAACCTCTAAAATGCAGCCAGTTTCAGATGTCAAAATAAATTACACCTACAACTAACGTCATCTAACTGTGAGCCGCAGGAACTAAGTTTACCACCTAATACTTTGAATCTTAACAGTACTTTGCGTAAGTATATCATCACTTAGCAAAGTATTATATATTAGTATTTAAATATTGACAATGTTCTGCGTAAGTATTTTATCACTGGACGAAGTATTACATATCAATATTTAAGTATTGAAATCAATCATAAGGTAAGATTTGTAACATTAAATATTGAAATATTTGAGTACTAAAAGCTGTATTTGAATCACAGAATATTACTAAATACTGTACTTTTAATGCTGAAAATAAATAATTAATCAATGATTCTTAGTATGATATTTCTATAAGGGTAAACAACACTTTAACGGAGTCAGGACATGGATGGTACCGGTGGTATACCGCTTGGAATCGAAATTATCGCAGGAGGATTTACGAAAGTTTGGAATATGTTGACACCCTTCGATATCTAGTAGTTTATGAGACATGAGAAAATTAGGAATATATAAATATATTTTTCTAAACATTATGATTTTCTCATTTTTCACCTTCGCATAATATTCAATAATTCTCAGTATTTGATTACTATCAATATTTAACAGTGATTTTATTATTGGTATTCACCAGAAATTAAGTACTGGCCAAAAAATTACTGAATTACTGGTAATATTTAATCACTAATAATTTTTCAGTATTTCTTAGTATGATATTTCTATAAAGGCTTGTGTAAATCTGCCTAATAATAAGAACTGAAAGTTTTGTTTATTTAAATTTTCTATTTGCAAATCTAATACAGTTTGTGTACAAAATATCAAGCCACTTTGAAATGATTTTTTTCCCATCTCCGACTGCAATGCCTTCAACAATATCCATAAAATCTTTAAGGAATGTGATATTATCTTTGTAAATATCTTTATTATAATAGGAAATGCGAGCTTCTGATATTTATTGGTCATAATTTTGAACCATTTGTTCGGAGTTCGGGCGGCGCGAGGTTCGTGGAATTCTGTCGTCGTACTTTAATTTCGGAGTTGTGCGCCAGCCGGGTACATCTCGGCCCTAGTCATCGCGTCGCGAACCGCGTATAGTCTGCCGCTCTCGGAGACCCGCACTTCCGAATGATGATCGTGAATCGTCACAATAATCACGCAGTCGCTTGCCGTCCTGTGCGGTCGCGAACGCGGCGAAACGGCAGCAGGCAACGCGGGAAGGACGGCTACAATCTCGCGGGCGCGCTAATCTTAGCCCGATCTTAGTCGCGAGCTCGTACGGTTCGTCAAGGGCGGCGAAGAACCATCCCGATCTTTAGATACCCGGGTGCTGAACGATAGGCGGAGGGCGGCTCACCAATCTCCCTCGCAGTGATCACTCCCACTCTCGTCCTTGCTCTCTTAACGGGTATCTCGCCGGGCTGGGTCGCCGCTTGTTCGCTCGCTCGTTCCGGGGGATCGCGGTGTTCGCCGAAGGGCTCGCGTCGCTTGCTATCCGCACAGTGACGAATTTCCGGCGAGCGCGAGACTCCTTCGGCTTGCGATCTTAGCCGCCGATCGCCGCTAGGTCCTATTAGTCCTGCGGAAGTGTACGGCTCTAGCGCGGGCGCCTTACAAGGCCCGCGCGACACCGCCGAATTCTCTATTTCTTTGTCGACAGGATCCTGGGCCCGACGGCATCCTTGACTTGCGTGGTCGCACAGGTAGCTGCCGGAAGTTCTTGGTGTCCCAGGGTGTCCCCCGGGAGCTGGTCCTTAATGTCCAGCCCTTCCTGGCGACCCGCGGCAAGTTAGTCGGGGCCCCCGTCGCTTATGTTCGCAAGGGGTGGATCCTGCCCCGTTTGACTCGTCGCTCGCTCCAGGTCCGCCGTCTCCATGTCGATAGAGGTACCCTGTCGCACTCGCCGTACGCCGAACACACAAATAAAACAAAAATTACAAAACGCGCTATCTAGCACGCAAAGACGTGCGAGACCAAATTCTTCGCCGCCGCCCTTCCCGCGGGAGAAGGAGGTGCGAGCACAACTCTCCTCGTCTTCCAGTCTTGTATTAATTTGGTGCCGGCGAAACTGCCACGTCACAACATTTAAATATTTAACTTTTTTAGTTGTATCTTCCGTTCCTTTTTCTGTTGTAGTACGTTTTTTTAATAAATTAGGTGTTGCATGTAAACAAAGTAATATTCTGTCATCTTGTCGACTTTTCTCAAATTGTTTGTCGTCAAAGTGTACCTATAAAATTTATGTAATTGTTATTTATGTAATTAATTATTACAGCACATAATGTTTCACACACACAATTATAACTCATTAACTATAGCCCTTGCTAGCAATGTGTTTTTTCCGATTAACTAGAGCCATTCTTCGCGTCTTTCAATATTATTTTTTCCTGTTGGGAGACGAAATAATCGAAAGCCTTTCTCACTTCGATTTTTGCAACCGTCCACACAGCCCCATGAAGTTAGCCCCCAAATATTCGAAAAAATACAATTTCTACACCTAATTCGTTTGCTCATCGTTTGAACATGTTTGCACATCAAGAATTTTTGTTTGCACACCTCTAGTTTCAAAGTTATTGAAAAAACAATTTTGGGGGGGGCCAACTTCACACTAGTCCCGCAACATTCGAAAAAGTAAACTTTCTTTAGCTCAAACGATTGCACATCGTTTGCACATGTTTGCACATCAAGAATTTTCGTTTGCACACCTCTAGTTTCAAAGTTATTGAAAAAACAATTTTGGGAGGGCCAACTTCACACTAGTCCCCCAACATTCGAAAAAGTAAATTTTTATTAGCTCAAACGATTGCACATCGTTTGCACATCAAGAGTTTTCGTTTGCACACCTTTAGTTTAAAAGAAATTTAAAAAACAAATTTGGGGGAACTAACTTCACATTAGCCCCCCAAGTTGTTTAAACTTGACTCACAATGCATGTAATCGATAGATTTTCGTTTGCACATTTCGAAACAACTCGAATTTTCGTTTGCACACTTCTAGAAAAAAAGTTATTTAATATTGAATTTTGGGGAGGCTAACTTCTTGTCAAAACCTAGGTTAAAATTGCAGGAAAAAATTGTTTGACGCATGATATCGTTAGATTTTCGTTTGCACATTTCGAAACAACTCGAATTTTCGTTTGCACACTTCTAGAAAAAAAGTTATTTAATATTGAATTTTGGGGAGGCTAACTTCTTGTCAAAACCTAGGTTAAAATTGCAGGAAAAAATTGTTTGACGCATGATATCGTTAGATTTTCGTTTGCATATTTCAAAACAAGTTGAGTTTTCGTTTGCAAACCTCTACAAAAAAAGTTATTTAACATTGAAATTTGGGAGGGCTAACTTCACACTTGGCGAAACCTTTTTTTTTTTTTTTTGATAACTCAGGCAAAAATGCGTTAGGCATCCCCCGAAGACCCGGGGAGGTCTCCGGGGGTATGTGGGACTGCCCTCTCCCTATTAGAGTAATAGGGGGATGTATACCCACTAAAAACCCCTGAGTGTATCCTTCTCTGCGCAAGTAGGGCGATTCCCTGGCATCGCCTTTCGGCATTCTTCGGGGGACCGCCCTGCGCTAGCTTCGGCAAGCTCCTGTCCCGGTGGGAGGGGAAGAGATCGGCTGGGTAGAAGCCTCAGTCGGCATCCCACCCAACCTAAGGTGCCAAACCTGGCATTTGCGCGGCGAGAGGCGGACACAAGACCTCTCGCCGCAACCCTCCTGTTGGGTGTGGGGAGGTCGTGGGGTTGCCGACGGTAGATGTCCCCGTCTGCCGACGACCCTCCCGCCGGAGCCCACTCTATCATCCATTGAGGGCCGATTAAAGGGATGCCCCAGGGCGCGCCTCCGAAATCGGAGGACGCGTCCGAGCATCCCTCCCCCGCCCTTCCGTGGATGGGTGAGCTCCACACGCCTTGCCGGGGTCCAAGGGCCCCGGATTGGCCAATCCAGGCGGCGGGCAGCCAAGATGGCCGCCACGCCGAATGAGGGCGTTCTGTCAGAATGGATAGGTGGAGAAACCCCTCAGTTGAGGGGGTTCACCACCACCTTATATCTCAGGTGGGCGGAAGGGGGCCGCCACTTGCGACCTCGCCTCGCACCCCTCCGCTGCACCTCGTCCTCCTCTTCCCCCTCCGAATAGGAGGTGGAGGGGAGAGCGGTACTACCTCCGCTTCCCCCCTCCTAACTCTTTCGCCAGCCTCCTTCCGCCCCATGACAGAGAAGCAGAAGGAGACCACCGCCTCCCACGCCTTTTTGCTCCCAACTATAGCTTGGACTACGGCCGGGAGCGAGAGATCCCTGCCCACCACTGCGATCAGGACATTGCGCTCGGCAACCCACGCCTGGCATTCAGCATATGCTGCGCGGTGTCCCGATCGGCCGCACAGTGATGGCAGTGCGCCGTACGCTTTTTCCTTATTCGACACAGGTACTCACCGAAGCAGCTGTGCCCGGTGAGCACCTGTGTCAGGTGGAAGCTTAACCCGCCGTAGCCCCTGTCCACCCATTCGAGGAGACAGGGGCGAATAGCCTTGATGGTCCGCCTGCCCGGCACGATGGGCCCCCCGAGTTGCCTCTTTCAGCGCCGGAGGGCCCTACCCCGAGCCAGGGCTCGGATCCGCCCTATAGTCCTGGCCGACATATCTTCCCCTTCTTCGCGGAGCCTCCTTAGACGGGTGTACGTGTCAGCGTACATCCTAGCAAGGAGGTCCGCAGGGATCATGCCGGCCAGGACCGTGACGGCCGCATGCGACACGGTCCGATAAGCGCGGGTGAGACGATTGGCCATGACGCGCTGGGTGCTATTGACTAGCACCCTGATACGTCGATTGGCCCCCATCTCACCCGCCCACACCGGGGCCCCGTATAGGGCCATGGAGTGGACCGTGTTGGCATACAGCCGTCCGTGGACCACCGAAATTGGGCAGGAGGCAGGCCAGCGCGCCAGCCATCCTGCCCATCTTGGGGCTAAGTCGTTCGAAGTGTTCGACAAAGCCCCAAGTTCCATCCAAGGTGAGGCCCAAGGATTTCAGCATGGGCCCCATTTCCACGCCGGTATCTGCCACCATGATGTGGGCCTGTGGGGGCGGCTTCACAGACCGAGCGTGCAGGAATAACGCTTCGGTCTTATTGGGAGCCACCCTCAGGCCCAGCGCCCGGATAGAGCGTACGACGCATTCGACGGTCACGTTAGCCAGGGCCGTCGCTTCCCCCCAGTCGGTGACCCCGGACAGCACTAACGTGTCGTCCGCATAGCAGACGACTGTGCTGCCCGGGGGAATGGCTGTCCTAAGGACGCGGTCCCACAACGCATGCGAGGTCCCACAACAGGGGCCCAAGAACAGACCCCTGCGGGACCCCACACCGCATGTCCCTTCCGCATTGGGAGGGAGTTGAAGGTATTCGTTATGTCTAACGATGTTGCCACAACTACCCTCCCCTCTTCCACCTCCATTTCCGCAAAGGCCCTCACACGGAGAATTGCGTCCACCGTGAAGTGGCCCACGCGGAAGCAGTACTGGGCGTCATTTAGGTCCGGACCCTCCCGGGAGAGGTGCCGGATGAGGCGGGTCACCACGATTCTTTCAAAAAATTTACCCACCTCGTCCAATTGGCAGACAGGCCTATATGCGGAAGGGGCATCTGAGGGCCGGCCCACCTTGGGTATTAGGAGCAGCCCTGCCCTTTTCCACCGACCGGGGAAAGTGCCCGTCCTGAGGCACCTAGTAAAGAGGCGCCTCAGGCGGGCCAGGACATCGGCAGAGGATTCGCCAAGTATGAAGTTAACCCTCCTAAATTTCAATGTAAAATAACATTCTTTCTAGAGGTGTGCAAACGAAAACTCGACTTATTTTGAAATGTGTAAACGAAAATCTAACGACATCATGCGTCAGAAAATTTTTTTCCTGCAATTTTAACCTAGGTTTTCCCAAGTGTGAAGTTAGCCTCTCAAATTTCAATGTTAAATAACTTTTTTTCTAGAGGTTTGCAAACGAAAACTCGACTTGTTTCGAAATGTTCAAACGAAAATCTAACGATATGCGTCAGAAAATTGTTTCCTGCAAATTTAACCTAGGTTTCGCCAAGTGTGAAGTTAGCCCCCCAAATTTCAATGTAAATAACTTTTTTTCTAGAGGTGTGCAAACGAAAACTCGACTTGTTTCGAAATGTGCAATCGAAAATCTAACGATATCATGCGTCAGATAATTTTTTTATTGCAATTTTAACCTAGGTTTTGACAAGTGTGAAGTTAGCCCACCCAAAATTCAATGTTAAATAACTTTTTTTCTAAAGGTGTGCAAACGAAAAATCGACTTGTTTTAAAATGTGCAAACAAAAATCTATTGATATCATGCGTCAGAAAATTTTTTCCTGCAATTTTAACCTAGGTTTTGACAAGTGTGAAGTTAGCCCCCCCAAAATTCAATGTTAAATAACTTTTTTTCTAAAGGTGTGCAAACGAAAAATCGACTTGTTTTAAAATGTGCAAACAAAAATCTATTGATATCATGCGTCAGAAAATTTTTTCCTGCAATTTTAACCTAGGTTTCGCCAAATGTTATAGGTGGGGCCCACGATGAAATATCTGGGCCTCATCATAGATGGCACCTGGGGGTTCGCGCCACACTTCGAGGCCTTAACCGCCAGATTGAACAGGGCGGCCAACGCCTTAGGTAGCCTCCTGCCCGACATCGGCGGTCCTAACACGAAGGTTTGGCGGCTCTATGTGAGCACGGTCCACTTAATGGGGCCCTTTATGGGGCGCCAGTGTGGGCCGGCGAGGCGGTGGCGAACCGGCGCATCAAAAGGTTGATGCATCGGTCGCAACGCTGGATGGCCATTTGCCTCGCCAGGGCTTACAGGACCGTGTCTCACGCGGCCGCCACGGCTCTCGCGGGAGTGATGCCTGCGGAGCTCTTGGCGCAAACGTACATGCGCATCAAAGAGCTGCGCAGCTCCGGGGAAGGAATCTCCGCGAGAGCCATAAACCTCGCGAAGAAGCAGGCCCGGCAGCGGGCTGTCCTACGCTGGAAACTCCAGCTGGACGACCCGCGGACACCGGGCCGACGGACCGTCGATGCCATCGGACCCTGTCTGCAAGATTGGCTAGACAGGGCCCACGGCGGGCTGACATTCCGATTGACGCAAGTGCTCACCGGACATGGTTGTTTCGGGGTATACCTGCGATCAATCGGAAAGGAGCGCACGGCGGCCTGCCACCACTGCGCGGCCGACCAGGACTCGGCGCAGCACACGCTGAAATTCTGTCCGGCGTGGGCAGACCAGCGCCGAGTCCTGACCGAGGTGGTGGGGGCGCACCTCTCGCTCTCGAGCATAGTTCGCGCAATGCTCAAGAGCGAGAGAAAGTGAACGGCGGTCTCCTCCTTTTGCAAAGATGTAATGTTGCGGAAGGAGGAGACAGAAAAATCAGGAGGGGAAGGTTGCCCCTCCCAATAGCGAGGAGTAGGATAAGGATGGGGACGGAGGGAGCAGCCGTCTAGGAGAAGGCGGAGACGATTCGGGAGACGGATCGGCCCTCCCTCCGTCCCTGCACATAGGAAAGGCATCGGCTGATACCCAGTCGGGAAAATGGGTTGCCCGCCTCCAGGAGGAGGCGCCCCTCCCCCCCCCCCATTGATGATGGGGTGTCAGCGGAGCAGATTGAACAGCGGACAATATCCCGCTAGATCGGGATGGGTCCCCAGTCCGGGTCGGGATTAACCGTTTGGGAATCCCGCTCCGGGCACCTTGAAACGGAGCAGAGGGAGGGGGGGCGTTTCTTCTTCTTTTTTGCTCTCCCCCACTGAGGAATGTCAGGGTAATTGGTAGGTCGGGGAGGCGACGCGTCACTGTATCGGTGCGCGACGTCCGCCCCCCCCCCTCCGAACGAGATGGGTCCTCGGTCCAGGGCGGGAATATTTCTCCCGCCCCGGGCGACGCGATGAATATCCACTCTTCCCCACAGAATAATGGGCCTATAGGGCCGGCGCACAAAGTTACCGTGCGCCGGCCCGGGGGCCACGAGGGGGTCGAGACCCGGGCAGGGACCCGGGCCCCGGCAACAACCCCCCCCCCCTCGTAGGGCGGTGCGGAGGTGGGAAAGCGGATTGCCCTCCTCCTCAATCAAGGGACGGACCGGGGGAACATCTGCTTCCGGTCAGGCTGAAAATTTGTCGCGGTGGAGACACCGCGGAAAAATGCTGCTGGCGATGCCCGCGATGTCCCCACATAACCGTCCGGAAAGGATCGCGGCAGGGGTTTTAGTGGGTAGGCCTCCTCTCTCTCTTAGAGGGGGAGAGTCCCACACTACTCCCGAGGATTCCCTGACCCTCTGGGGTGTGCGTAACGCATTTCCCCTGACTCACTAAAAAAAAAAGATTTCGCCAAATGTGAAGTAAGCCCCCCCAAAATTTAATGTTAAATAACTTTTTTTCTAGAAGTGTGTAAACAAAAACTCGAATTATTTCGGAATGTGCAAACGAAAATCTAACGATATCATCCGTCAGAAAATTTTTTCCTGCAATTTTAACCTAGGTTTCGCCAAGTCTTTTGCCAACAAAATAGTAGCGGAGAAAGAGGGAGAGGAGGAGGGAGAGGCTTTTGCCTTGTTAATGAGAGGGCGCAATGTGCCCATTGCCGAGCCGACCATCAGCTCGGAGAGGAGGGCTCCTGTGGCTGAGGCCACAGAGAGTATAGTTGGGGCCAATAGCGGCCGCACTATGGGAAGAACACTTTGGTGTGCTTAACTGCCCCAAAAGTGTGGGGGACTCTACTGGGCCACCACCAGCTCAGACGTTCCCCCATATAAAGGACGCTCACATCCGTGGCGTCGCTCCACTGAGGTTGCGCGGGGGAGTAGAGTCTGAGGAGGACTCGAATAACAAGAGGGGAGGTGGTGAGCCTTCAACGTCCACCGGGGTAACTGCGTCGGGTCGGCCTGGCCTGCCGAAAGACAGGTCTGACAACCGGAACAAGGCGAAGAAGAGGAAAATCAGCCATTCTTTCCCTACCTCGTCCCCTGAGCACGAAATCGAGGTGATGGACGAGTCCTCGAAGACTCCGATTCGGAATGCGGGGACGAGGAGACGAGGAAGTAAATCAGGACAAGGAAAAAGGATAGAAGGGGACGCCCTCTGAAGAACCCGTCCCACGAGAGGTGTTTTACGGCGAAGGCCTTGAGGGCCAAGAAGGCACTTAAGAAGGAGAAGAGGCAGGAAGAAGATGAAGACCGAGCCCTGGATCCCTCCACGGAGCTGAGATATACTCCGAAGGTGAGGGAGGCCCGCTTCAAGGAGGAGGAACTCTTACAAAAGTTTAAGAAGTTCTCCGCGACGGGCTTAGGCGCCGTAATCACCGAACAGGTGAATGAGCTGCGGAAAGTAGCCCAAGGCTGCTCTAATTTAAAGAGCACCACAGTGAGTGAGCTGTAGCGCACCTCGGCGCAGATTTCGGCGGCAGCAGCGGCCATAGAAGGAGAAGGGCATACTAGGTGGCGGCGGGACGTCGTGCGTTCGAGATCTGCGTATCTTTTTCGTTCCAGAAAGAGAAAAACATCGAAAGCGCCGAGACTCGAACCCGGGTCTTTCGCTTGCCAGGCGATTGCTCTAAACCCCTGAGCTACCTGACGCTCCACGCTCACGACACTCCTCTTCCTAGATAACGCTCAGAGATGCCGTTCGGAAGCGACATCTCTGGCGCGATCCCGAGCGCACGGCGACTACAGAGAGAAACAATGTTACTGTACCAAATGGTACAGCTGTCAGTCTCTCAAAGTCAAAGGTTGCTATCCTTTAAGATCTGCTGTCCATGTATGCCCGTCTCCACCGTTGCCCCTCCTCATCCGGTGCAAATAATACAAATAAGCCCCGGGGTCGACACTCAACATGCGCGCGTATCAGAGCGAACAGGTGGTTGCGGCGCTGGAATGGGAGGACCTCAGGGAGGAGGTCCGCCAATTAAGTGGGGACTTGGCCCACTTCAGGGCCGAGAATGGGAGCTTTAAGGCCGAAAATGAGGGCCTTAAAGCTCAGATCAAAAAGTTGAAGAAGGAGAAAGCCGCCGCGGAGCGGGCTTCAAGTCCTCAGCCCCCGTCCCGACCGAAGAGGTCGACGACGCGGCCGGCTATAGTGGAGGAGACGGAATCAGAAGGGGAGGGTGCTCGGGGGACGTTTATAGTCCTCCCGGATCCCCCCCCTGATCCGGCCTGCCGCCCACAGCCCGGGGAGATCATCCCTCCAATGGTTAGGCCTCCGCTCAAAAGGGTCTCGTCGGTCATCGAGCCCCCGAGCGTAGCGGAATCGGCCACTGCAGGTCTGACTGAGGGGGGGCTGGAGGCGAGTCTGGAGGATATGCTCCCCAGGCTCCTGGCGCGAATGGGCCTCCATCCTCCCGCGCTTCTGACTTCGGGTCCTTCCGAAACCGCGAGAGGAGGCGGGGAAGGAGGGGACCCAACCATGGAGGTGGAGACGGAGAAGCGACAACGCCTCTCCTCTTTTTCTAAAAGCCGTTAGAAGGGGAAGACGGGACCCACCCGGACCACGAGAGGGGTCTCCCGCAAGGGCGGCCAGAAGGCCCAAAAGAAGAATCAAAAGAAGAAAAGGAAAGGGAAAAAGGGGAGGGAGGAAACTGAGCCCCAGACCTTTCCAACCCTGGGTACTCCCCGAGAAGAGGGCCAGAAAAAAGCCCATACGTGCCCCACGGGTCATCGGGGGGGCCCTGTTGGCCGGAAAGAAGAATCAAAGGGAGGGGTCGCTGCTCCCACTCAAGCCGTAGAGTGGGGAAACGGCATCGGTTCGCTCCTCCTTCCAGCCGCCCTCGATTGAAGGCTGGAACAAGATGGTGGGAAAAAGGGCGGGGCAAAAGCCGCAACCGACCCCTCCGCAGCCGACCTCGAAGGGGGGAAACCCTCCCCTCCTGGCGACAGCCTTCCAAGGGGAAGAAGGAGGGAGGTAACCAGCCTCCCCCGGATTCCTCGAATAGGGCTGGAGGCAACCAATCTTCCCGGGATCCCGCCGGGAAGACGGGTGGGAAAGGCGTGCCGCGCCTGAAGGCGCCAACGTCCGCGGCGGTGTGCACCTGCCCGGAGGGAAAGTATGGCGAGGTGATGCGCGCTGCCAGAAGCAGGATCCCTATCTCCGAACTGGGGATCAATAACCTCAGGTGTAGGAGAGCCATTACTGGGGCTCTTCTACTTGAGATCCCCAGCCCGGAGGGGGACAAACTGGCCAACATTCTGGCCTAGGCTCAGGGAAACCCTTGGGGATTTGAAGGGGTTCTGAATTGACCGTCCCTCTAAGAAGGCAGAGATCCGCCTCCATAACCTGGGGGATTCTATCACGGCCACCGAAATAGCTGCGGCTTTGGCAAACATTTCGGGGGGTGATCCCTCTGAGGTCAGGGAGGGGGGGACTAAGAGAGCCCCTAATGGACTTGCCACCGCCTGGATACAGTGCCCCGGCTCCGTGGCCAGAAAGGTTGCGGAGGCGGGCCGTATCCGTGTTGGCTGGAACATGGCCCCGGTTGAGGTGCAGGCGACGAGTCCTTTGCAATGCTTCCGATGTCTGAAAGAGGGGCACGTTCACCGGCACTGCCGCGGTAACGTCAACCGCTCCGGCGTCTGCTACCGCTGCGGCGGCCCGGGTTATCGAGCCGCGGAGTGCACCGGTCGCCTGGTGTGCCTGGTGTGCTCCACGGCGGAGGAGGAGGTATTCCACAGGCTGGGAGGGGAGGCGTGCATGGCCTCCCAGAAGAAAAAAAAGGGGAAAGGGAAAAATAAAGGGGCGAGGAAGGCCCGAACCTCGCCTCTCTCCCTCCGCCCCCTAGGAAGGAGGTCAGCAGCGGTCCCCGGTGCGCCGAGAACCGGTTGCTGGACCTCCTGGGGTGGGCCAGAGAGCCCAGGAGGCTCCGAAGACGGAAGGCCTACTCATCTGCACCTGAGGACCCAGAGGCCCTCACTGAGGTGCAGATGGAGGAGACTTCCCCGGAAATGGTGAGAGGAGGAGGATCGGGGACGGACATTGCCCCCGATATAACAGGGGTGGTCGGCCTGGAGGAGGCGAACCTGTCGCCAACCAATGGCGACAAAACTCCTCCAGGCCAATTTAGGCCACACTAGGATTGCCCAGAACCTGTTCCTGCATTCGCTCGCCGAACGCGGGGCAGGCCTGGGTGTGGCGTCCGAGCTTTACCGGATCCCAGCTGACAACTCACGTTGGTTCGGAGTTCCGGGGGGCTCGGTCGCCATATACTGGAGGAGCTGCCAGAAATCTCCCCGGCCGGTGCTAGTTGAGGCCGAGTAGTTCCTGGTGGCGGTGAGATGGAGGGACCTGGTCGTGGTCATTCTACGCTCCCCCAAGATGGATAAGAGCCGACTACGAGGCGCACCTAGACCGGGTGTCGGGGGTAATCAGAAGATGCGCTCCTCACCCGGTTGTGGTAGCTGGGGACTTTAACGCCAAATCCTCGTCGTGGGGTTCCCCGGCCACAAGTGTCCGTGGTCGGTTCACCGAGTGCTGGGCGGCGTCGACGGGCCTTCGTCTTCTGAACGAAGGCTCGGTGAGCACCTGCGTGCGCTCGCAGAGTGAATCCATTATTGACCTCACCTGGGTGAATGGCCCTGCGGCGCGCGCGGTGAGATTTGGAAGGTGGTGAAGGGGACGGACACTGGTTTCGACCACCTTTACATAGAGGTGGTCCTCTCCGTCATTCCCCCCGAGGTGCTCAGGCGCCGCCGGGAAAGGGAGCGGGAGCGGCCGGGTAGATGGGCCCTCCGAAAGCTGGATAAAGACGCCCTTCGGACGTCTATAATTGCGACCGAATGATCGCGAAGGGAGGATTTTTTTCCCCTGCTGGAGCAGGATAAAATGGAGGAGGAGGCGGAAGGACTCGGGGAGAATATGGAAAGAGCATGTAACGCCTCCATGCCCCTAATCCGCCCCCACGTTCTTCCGGTCCGCGTACTGGTGGATGGAGGAAATAGCCGATCTCAGGCGCTCCTCTGTCCAGGCCAGACGCCGTATGCAGCGGACCAAAAGGGCAGGGGATGTCGCCGAGGCGACCGAAGCGCGTAGGGCCTTCCGAACCGCACGGAAGGCTCTGCGCGTCGCAATTGTGAAGGCCACACCAGGTCCTGGGAAGAAATGCTCAGGTCCCTGGACAAGGATTCATGGAGGCGCCCGTACAGGCTAATCTTGCGCAGACTAAAACTCTGAGCGCCTCCGGTCACTGAAAGTATGGAACCTTCATTTCTCAATAAGGTGGTGGGGACCCTCTTCCCTGATGAGGAGCCGCCGCCCTTCCCGTATGAGGTCCCCCGCCGGATTGGAATGAGGAGTGGGAAGTGTCTGAAGAAGAGCTGACCCGGTCGGCCCGCTGGCTCGGTGGGGCTAAAAATGCTCCCGGGCCTAGCGTGGGCCCTGGTCTTGGCCGATGTCGGGGCCCGCCTGAAGCGCCTCTTTACTGTGTGCCTCAGGACGGGCACTTTTCCCGATCGGTGGAAATGGGCGGGGTTAGTTCTTATAACCAAGGTGGGCCGGCCCCCAGATGCCCCTTCAGCATATAGGTCTGTCTGCCTATTGGACGAGGTGGGTAAATTCTTTGAAAGAATTATGGCCCGCCTCGTCTGGCATCTCTCCCGGAAAGGTCCGGACATAAATGATGCCCAGCACGGCTTCAGCGTGGGCCGCTCCACGGTGGACGCAATCCTCCGTCTAGGGGCCTTCGCGGAAGCGGAGATGGAAGAGGAGAGGGTAGTTGTGGCAACATCGTTAGACATAACGAATGCCTTCAATTCCCTCCCGTGGGACCGGGTGGAGAAGGCGATGCGGTATCATCGCTTCCTCCTCTATCTGGTTCACATTGTTCGGATTTACTTCCGGAAGAGGACCCTGGAGTTCTTCGACCGCGATGGACTCCAATGCGGAAGGGGCATACGGTGTGGGGTCCCGTAGGGGTCTGCTCTTGGGCCCTTGTTGTGGGACCGCGTCCTTAGGACAGCCCTTCCCCCGGGCAGCACAGTCGTCTGCTATGCGGACGACACGTTAGTGCTGTCCGGGGGCACCGACTGGGGGGAAGCGACGGCACTAGCCAACGTGGCCGTCGAATGCGTCGTACGCTCTATCCGGGCGCTGGGCCTGAGGGTGGCACCCAATAAGACAGAAGCGTTGTTCTTGCACGGTCGGTTTGAGGGGCCACCCCCACAGGCCCACATCATGGTGGCAGATACCCGCATGAAAGTGGGGTCCATGCTAAAATCCCCGAGCCTCACCTTGGATGGAACTTCGGGCTTTGTCGAACACTTCAAACGACTTAGCTTCAAGCTGGGCAGGATAGCGGGCGCGCTGGCCTACCTTCTGCCCAATTTCGGTGGTCCACGGACATTGGTGAGACGGCTGTATGCCATCACGGTCCACTCCATGGCCCTATACGGGGCTCCGGTGTGGGCGGGTGAGATGGGGGCCAATCGACGCATCAAGACGCTAGTCAATAGCGCTCAGCGCGTCATGGCCAACCGTCTCACTCGCGCTTATCGGATCGTGTCGCATGCAGCTGTCACGGTCCTGGCCGGCATGATCCCTGCGGACCTCCTTGCTAGGGTATACGCTGACACGTACACCCGCCTAAGGAGGCTCCGCCAAAAAGGGGAAGATATGTCGGCCGGCACCATAGGGCGGATCCGAGCCCTGGCTCGGCGTAGGGCCTTCCGGTACTGGAAGAGGCAACTTGGGGGGGCCCAACGTGCCGGGCAAGCGGACCATCGAGGCCATCCGCCCCTGTCTCCTCGAATGGGCGGACAGGGGCCACGGCGAGTTAAGCTTCCACCTGACAGGTGCTCACCGGGCACGGCTGCTTCGGTGAGTACCTATGTCAAATAGGGAAGAGCGTACGGCGCACTGCCACCACTTTGCGGCCGATCGGGACACCGCGCACCATAACCTGGCTGAATGCCAGGCGTGGGCTGCCGAGCGCGATGTCCTGATCGCAGTGGCGGGCAGGGACCTCTCGCTCCTCGCCGTAGTCCCAGCTATGGTTGAGAGCAAAGAGGCGTGAGAGGCGGTGGTCTCCTTCTGCTCCTCTGTTATGGAGCGGATGGAGACCTCCGAAAGGGTCAGGAGAAGGAGGCGGAGGTGGTACCGCTCCTCACTCCACCTCCTCTTGTGAGGGGGAAGAGGAGGACGAGGTGCAGCGGAGGGGTGCGAGGCGAGGTCGCAGGTGGCAGCCTCCTCCCGCCCACTTGAGATATAGGGTGGTGGGGAACCCCCTCAACTGAGGGGTTTCCCCACCCATCCTTTCTGACAGAACGCCCTCACTCGGTGCTGCGGCCATCTTGGCTGCCCGCCACCAGGACGGGCCAATCAGGGGCCCTTGGACCCCGGCAAGGCGAGTGGAGCTCACCCACCCACGGAGGGGCGGGGGAGGGATGCTCGGACGCGTCCTCCGATCTCGGTGGCGCGCTCTAGGACGTCCCTTCAACCGGTCCTCAATGGGTGATAGAGTGGGCTCCGGGGGGAGGGGGTCACCGGCAGACGGGGACATCTGCCGTTCGCAACCCCACTACCGCCCCACACCCAACGGGAGGAATGCGGCGAGAGGTCTTGTGTCCGCCTCTCGCCGCGCAAATGCCAGGTCTGGCACCTTAGGTGGGGTGCGATGCCGACTGGGGCTTCTACGCAGCCGATCTCTTCCCCCTCCACCGGGACAAGAGCTTCCCGAAGCTAGCACAGGGCGGCCCCCCGAAGAATGCCGAAAGGCAATGCCAGTGGTCGCCCTACTTGCGCAGAAGACACACTCAGGGGTTTTTAGTGGGTATATTTCCCTCTATTACTCTAATAGTGGGAGTGGAACCCCACATAACCCCGGAGACCTCCCCGAGTCTTCGGGGAATGCGTAACGCATTTTCTCCTGAGTTATCAAAAAAAAAAAGTTTCGCCAAGTGTCCCCCTCGGGGTGCACCACCTTAACGTGGTGAGAGGTCCCTGGATCTCGACCCGCTGGGCAGTGCCAAGAGTCCAACTCTTGGGAGGGCTGTGGGAAGGGCCTGGAGTCTAAGAGTGCACCAATCAGGTGGGATGAGAGTGCGGATCCGTCCTGTGTCTGGGAAGGTCGACCTTCGGGTCGCGCCTCCTGGAATGGGATGGATGCCGCGTCCCACAATGGGGGTCCCCTTCCACTCGGCACACGGCCTCGGGACACTTAGTCTATGGGTACGCCGATGTGGGGGGGACGGGCGGCTTCCGGGGATCTTCCCGGAAGTCGGCCCCCTGCGATCCGTCGGGCCATGTCGGTAGAGTTTCTCATGCCGGACGGACCGACGGGAAGGGGAATCATTAGACGCGACCGTCAGGGCCGTCCGGACGTGTTCCGGGGGGGGGGGAGCGGTGCACTTGGACACTGTGCATTTGAACACAGCCAATCACAGAACCGTGTGATTAGACATTTGTAGGGTCCCTTGGAACAGCGACTTGTGATTGCACTGTGTCCAATTGCCCCGTGTCCAACTGATACACCCGTTCCGTAGCAAGGTCTGGCGGTCGGAGTGCCCGGTAACCGGCGACTGCATCGTTTCCTAAGTCGGTCACTGAGTGGAGTGTGCCCCGCAGGGGGAGCAATTCGCTCCCTGTGGGGCGTCATTGGTCGCCACGGCGGGTAAAGCGTTGGGTGGGGTGCAGCACCCTCATGACCCCAACCGTTCGTGGGAGCCCCCGGGTGGCGCCCACCCACACGGTGGCCACGTTTCGGAGGCGTAGGACCCTCGAAAGCCCACTGGTTTAGGTTTGTCCGGCCTGTGGGTGAGTAAGAGGCTCGAAGTCCAGTACCGCCGATGTAACATTCCGGCGACCCGAGACATATGGCTTTCCCCTGGGAGAATTCGGGGACATGGCCGGGAGTCAAATCCCGGTCATGGGGGCACGCGCTGAAGTCGGAGCCGTGCGGGTGCGTGGGATTCAACTAAAAATGGATTGCTCAAATTTTAATGTTAAGGACGTCTGCGGACGTAGTGTCGACGACGGAGAGGCATCCCACTCCACGGTGGGAGTCACGCCCTGTATTCCAGGGTCCTCCACGCTCGGGGGGAGCCAACAGGGGGAGGCTGATTTGAAGCCGAGTCGACGGCCCGGCCCCAAGTCCAGAACAAGGAGGGACAGGTCGGAGTATGAGCTGAGGAGAAGAGAGGAGAGCCGCTTGGGGGTGTACAACAGGAGCAGGGCCATTGATGGGCCCTCTCCTTCACGACCCCTTGGAGCCTCCTCGACCTCCAGCTCCCGGGAGAGATCCCGGGGTCCGGCGGTTGTCCTGACAAGGATCAGGACAGGTGAGGATGAAGTCGTGGAAACGCTTTCAACAGACAGTGACGTCGACATCGACTCCGGTTCGAAGCTCGTTACTCTGGACGTACGCCAATCGAGAAGAGGGGCAGGCCGGCGAAGACCGAGGCCCACAAAGGCCAATTTACGGCCGAGAAAAGGGCGGAGAGAGAGAGAATGAAGAAGGATAGGCGAACTGCCGCGGTCGACCAAACCATTATAGATCCCTCGATTGGCCTACCGAAAGTAGAGTAATCAGGGCCGGCGAAAACGCGCTGGCCCTGGTCGATGAAATGAGGGAGGAGCCGACCACTGAACTGTCCATAACGGCAGTACAGTGCTTGGCCCTCCTTCAGAAGATGGCGGGGATGTCGAGAAACCTCAAGGGCTCCGTCCAAAAAAAAATCTGGGAGGCTGTCAGGAAACTTTCTGCGACCAACACCCTCCTCACCTATCGAGCTTTGGGGGCAGTTGGCTCGGATAATAGGCGGGGGAAGCGGCTGCAGGAGGAGCTGAGAGTGACGGTCTCTCAGCAGAAGAAGCAAACAGAGGGTCTCCAAAAAGAGATGGAGGAGTTGAGGGAGAAACAGGAGGCTTCGGCACTCCCTTCTCCCTCTTCTCCCTCTTCTCCACTGTGCGGAGCTGCGGGGAGCACACCCTCGCGGACGGAGTCAGAGCCCCAACGCTTTTCCAGGGCAGTCAAAAGGAAGAGTCGCACGATTGAGTGCGACTCGGAGGATGGGGAGATGGCGACCGAGGCCCTCCAGAGCCAAGTCATTGCTCTGGAAGAGCCCGAATGTAGAAGGAAGGAGATACTGGCGGAGATAGGCAGTGAGCCCCTTCCACCGGCCTTTAGGCCGCCGTTGGGAGAAGTTAGTGTCTCCTTGGACGCTCCTCCGCCAGTGTCTCCTTGCACAACCGCAGAGAAACCCGGAGGAAAATTCAGACATCTCGAGGATCTCCTCGAGATCCTGATCCCCCGTATTCTTGGGAAGATGGGTGTTACTCACGGACACTCGTTCTCACAAATAGGGGGGGAGGGGCAGTGGGAGCCACAAAAGAGGCCCCACTGCCCGACTTTCCCCACTCACTGCCACGGCCCGTCATAGAGTCAGGCACAATGGTTGGGGCGAATGAGGGGGGGAGGAAAAAGAAGCCCCGGAAAAAAAAGAAGAAAGACGGGATGAGGGAGGCGGTGGAGAGGGTGGAGATGATGGGCACAGCCCCCCGGCCATCACAGGTCGAATCCCCCGCAGCCCCCCAAGAGAAGGCAGTGGTTCCTCCCCGCGGCGGCAGCACGACCCGAGAGACCTGGTCGACCGTCGTGGGGAGGAGGGCGGCCAAGGCCAAAAAGGGCGGAACCACGGCTGGGGAGCAAACCACAGTTCCCAATCAAGGGCCCGGCTCCTCCCGTGGGAAAGAAGCCCCAGCGAAGGGAAATAAGGGAGGTCTACCACTTTCCCTCGCCCCAAACTAAAGCCGCCATCCCGGGCGGTTGTTACCATCACCTGCGTCCCCGGAATGGAATATACGCAGGTGATGAGAAAAGCTAGAGAGGAGGTAAGGCTGTCGGAGCTGGGGATCTCCAACGTGATCCCCAAGCGCGGCATTACGGGGTCGCTCATTTTGGAGGTCCCTGGCCCCGACAGCCACGATAAGGCCAGAGCCCTGGCCGACAAGCTGGCCGCGCTCTTTGTGGGGACCGACGGTGTTCGAATGGCTGTCCCCGCAAAGAGCGTCGAGATTAGAATTAAAAATCTCGACGACTCGGTGAGTGCGGATGACGTTAAGTCCGCAATTGCCGAGTCGGGAGAATGCCCTCCAGCGGAGGTCAACGTCGGGGCGGTGAGGCGAGCCCCCAACGGGCTTAACTCTTGTTGGGCCAGATGCCCGATGGGGGCCGCCCGCAAAATTGCCTCCGCTGGTAAGGATCGGGTGGACGGTGGCCCTGGTCGAGATTTTCTCGCCCCGATCCCTCCAGTGCTTCCGTTGCCTGGAGGAGGGACATGTCAAGTCCCAATGTCGGGGCGAGACAGATTGCAGCGGGATTTGTTAGCGTTGTGGGGGTCCGAGTCGTAAGACCCGGGACTGCGCGGCCAGGCCGACATGCCCAGTCTGCTCCGCTGGCAAAGATAAGCCGGTGGAACACAGGCTGGGCTCGGCAAACTGCCTGGCCGTTCAAAAGAAGAAGAAAGGGGCCGGGAAGGTAGCTGGAGCCAAGCTCTCGGCTACCATCACCCCATCCCCTCTACGAAGGTAGCATTGGCTCCCCAGCCTAAGGGGGCCCAACCCTCAAAACGGAAGGGACAATCGGGGGGTAATATGGCCCCCCCTCCTCACCCGAGGCCGGAAACCTGGGCTCTTGGATCACGGGGAAGGGAGAAAGAGGCCAGTAAAGCGACGGCGCCGAAAGGTGTCAAGAGGAAGGGCCGATTGAGATCATTGTCGGTGGATGGGGGCAAGAAGAAAAACCCCCCACCCGCCCCCATGGAGGTCGACATGGAGGAGATCGGTAGCCAGCGATCACAATCATAATGGCTACCGTCCTCCTCCAACCAACCTGAATCACGCCCGCCGTGCCCAAGACCTCTTGTGCCACACTATGGCGGAGCGTGATTCAAGCCTGACTGTGGCCATCAAACCCCACCACATCCCCCTCAACGACCTCCGCTGAATGGATCGTCCGGGGATGCCGGCAATGGTGGGTAAGGTGGCCATCATTAGGAGGTTTTCAAAAACCTCCCCGCCGGCGCGTTGCGTCTACGCCGGCGGGGAAATAGTGGCAGTCGAGGGGGGTCCATTGCGGTGGTCGGAGTATACGCCTCGCCCGCGCTGAGCCTCGCCGAATTTGGGTATCTATTGGACGGGGTGGAGGAGGTCATAAGAACCAAGTGCCTCCCCTGACCCATCCTGCTCGCGGAGGACTTTACCGCCAAATCCAGGCTATGGGGTTCCCCGCGAGCGAATGCGAAGAGCGAGACTCTCGCGGGCTGGGCGGCGGGTCTTGGCCACTGTTTATTAAACAGAGGCCACATTAGCACCTGCGTCCGGCCGCAGGGGAAGTCGATTGTTGATCTCACTTGGATCAGCCCCCCTGCAGCTGAACTGATGAGATCCTGGCGGGTGGCGACGAAGTTGGAAACACTATCGAACCACCTCTATATAAAGGTGGTCCTGGTCGCCACCTCCAGAGAGGTGCTGGTCTGCCGCCAGGCTTTGGAAGACACCCGGCCGAAGCGATGAGCCCTCACTCGGCTGAACACGGACGAGCTCAAGTCGGTTGTCCTCGCGGCGACCTGGGATCAGGAGGAGCGCGACCTCCTGACCCGGGAGAATATAGAGGAGTCGGTCGCGAATCTCGGGGCACTGATGGAGAGAGTCTGCGATGCCTCCATGCCCCGAGCGCGACCAGTCCACCTCCGGGCCGCCTATTGGTGGACGGCAAAAATAGCCTCCTTGAGGAAAGAGGCCGTCCGCCTACGCAGACGCTTCCAGTCTGCGAGGCGGTCCGGAGATGCCGCGAGGACAGCAGCTGCACAGGGTGAACACCGTGCCGCACGGCTCGCCCTGTGCGCGGAGATCAGGGACTCGAGGGACAGGGCCTGGAAGAGTCTTCTCGGCGACTTCGATAGAGATCCGTGGGGGCGACCATATCACATCGTGTGGAACAAGCTTAAGCCATGCTCGCCCCCGATAACGGAGGAAATGGACCCCCAACGGGTGGAGGAGATAGTGGAGACCCTTTTTCCGGGGAACAACTACACAGTGCTCCCATACGAGGGTCCCCCCGCCGATTGGCACGACGAGTTGGGGATCACGGTCACCGAGATAACCCGGGTCGTCAAAAGGCTAGGGGGCAAGAAGGCCCAAGGGCGGTAGGGGCCCTGTTCCTTGAGGGAATCGGCAGCCGGCTGAGCCAGCCTCAAGGCTGGCGTCTTCCCCCAAAGGGGGGGGACGCCAGCGTCTGCTGGACGAGGTAGGCAAGATGCTCGAACGCATCATAGCTGACCGCCTCGTCCAGCAGCAACGAGGAGGTGGTCCAGACCTGAGCGAAACTCAATTTGGGTTCCGCGAGGGCAAGTCAACCGTAGACGCCATTCGGCGGGTACGGGCCCTCGCGGAGCAACGAGTGGCGGAGGGGGGAAGAAGTGTTTATGGCGGTGTCGCTAAACATCGTCAACGCGTTCAACACCCTCTCCTGGGACCGGGTAGAGGCGGCCCTCGTCCATCATAGGATGCCGTTCTATCTGGTCTCGATCGTTCGGGACTACTTCCGTGGCCGGAAGCTGGAGTTCACGATTCAAGGTGGACTCCAGCTTGGAAGGAAAATGCGGTGCGGGGTTCCACAGGGCTCAGTTCTGGGCCCACTGCTGTGAAACCTCGCATATGACCCCGTGCTTCGCACTGCCCTCCCCCCGGCAGTCGAGTGATCTGCTATGCGGACGATATACTCATGCTGACCGGGGGACAAGATTGGGGGGAAACAGCGGCCCTTGCGCAGGTCGCAGTCGACTGTGCCGTGCGCTCCATCCGGGGGATGGGGCTGGAGGTGGCGCCCCAAAAATCGGAGACCATCTGGTTCCACTATGGCTCCCGTGGGGCACCCCTACCCACCCGGATCCTGGTGGGGTCAGCCCGCATAGAGATGGGGCTCACAATATCTGGGCCTCATCCTAAATGGCACCTGGGGATTCGGGCCACACTTCGAAACCTTAACCCAGATTGGACAGGGCGGCCAACGCCTTAGGTGGCCTCCTGCCCAATATCGGCGGTCCTAACACGAGGGTTCGGCGGCTCTACGTGAACACGGTGCATTCAATGGCCCTTTATGAGGCCCCAGTGTGGGCCGGCAAGGCGATGGCGGACCGGCGCATCAAAAGGTTGATGCACCGGTCGCAGCGCTGGATGGCCATTCGCCTCGCCAGGGCCTACAGGACCGTGTCTCACGCGGCCGCCACGGCTCTCGCTGGGGTGATGCCTGCGGAGCTCCTGGCGCAAATGTACGCTGAAACGTACATGCGCATCAAGGGGCTCCGCAGTTCCGAGGAAGGAACCTCCGCGAGAGCCATAAACCTCGTGAAGAAGCAGGCCCGGCAGCGGGCCGTCCTACGCTGGAAACTCTAGCTGGACAACCCGCGGACGCCGGGCCGACAGACCGTCGATGCCATCGGGCCCTGTCTGCAAGATTGGCTAGACAGGGCCCACGGCGAGCTGACATTCCGATTGACGCTCACCGGACATAGTTGCTTCGGAGTGTACCTGCGGTTGATCGGAAAAAAGTGCACGGCGGCCTGCCACCACTGCGCGGGCGACCAGGACTCGGCGCAGCACACGCTGGAATTCTGTCCGGCGTGGGCAGACCAGCGCCGAGTCCTGACTGAGGTTGTGGGGACGAACCTCTCGCTCTCGAGCATAGTTTGAGCATAGTCCTGCGAAGATGTAATGTTGCGAAAGAAAAAGGCCGAAAAAATCAGGAAGGGGAAGGTTGCCCGTCCCGATAGCGAGGAGGAGGATGAGGACGGGGACGGAGGGGGCCAGCCGCCTAAGAGAAGGCGGAGATGGATCGGGAGACGGATCGGCCCTCCTTCCGTACCTGCACATAGGAAAGGCATCGGCTGACACCCAGTCGGGGGAATGGGTTGCCCGCCTCCAGGAGGTTCCACCCCCCCCCTCCCACATTGATGGTGGGGTTAGGCTAGCCGAGCAGGTTGAGCAGCAGACAATAGCTTGCTAGATCGGGATGGGTCGCCGGTCTGGGGCGGAATTAACCGTTTGGGAATCCCGCTCCGGACACCTTGAAACGGGGCAGTGGGGGCGTTTCTTCTTCTTTTTGCCCTCCCCCAATGAGGAATGTCAGGGTAATTGATAGGTCGGTGGAGGGGGGCGACGCGTTACTGTATCGGTGCGCGACGCCCCCCCCCCCCGAACGGGATGGGTTCTCGGTCCGGGGTGGGAACATTTCTCCCGCCCCGGGCGACTCGAAACGAAGCCGGGGTGGGGGTGGATATCCACTCAATCTCTCCCACAGAGAAATGAGCCTATAGGGCCGGCGCACAAAGTTACCGTGCACCGACCCGGGGGCCACGAGGGAGGTCGGGACCCGGGTAGGGACCCGGACCCCGGCGCCAACCTCCCCCCCCCCCTCGTAGGGCGGTGCGGAGATGGGAAAGCGGATCGCCCTCCTCCGCAATCAAGGGACGGACCGGGGAAACATCTACCCCCGGTCAGGCCGAAAATTGGTCGCGGTGGGGACACCGCGGAAAAATGCTGCTGGCGATGCCCGCGATGTCCCCACATAACCGCCCGGAAAGGATCGCGGCAGGGGTTTTAGTGGGTAGGCCCCCTCTCTCTCTCGTAGAGGGGGAGAGTCCCACACTACTCCCGAGGATTCCCTGACCCTCGGGGGTTCGTAACGCATTTCCCCTGCCTTACAAAAAAAAAGGTTTCGCCAAGTGTGAAGTTAGCCCCCCCAAAATTCAATGTTAAATAACTTTTTTTCTAGAGGTGTGCAAACGAAAATTCGACTTGTTTCGAAATATGCAAACAAAGATCTAATAATATCATACGTCAAACAATTTTATTTTGCAGTTATAAATTTCGGCAAGTGTGAGTTTGGCCTCCCCAAAGTTTAAAGTTAAATAACTTTTTTTCTAGAGGTGTGCAAACGAAAATTCAACTTGTTTCGAAATGTGCAAGCAAAGATCTAATAATATCATACGTCAAACAATTTTATTTTGCAGTTATAAATTTCAGCAAGTGTGAGATTGGCCTCCCCAAAGTTTAAAGTTAAATAACTTTTTTTCTAGAGGTGTACACAAACGAAAATTCGAGTTATTTCGAAATGTGCAAACGAAAATCTATCGATTACATGCATTGTGAGTCAAGTTTGAACAACTTGGAGGGCTAATGTGAAGTTAGCCCCTCCAAAATTGTTTTTTAAATTTCTTTTAAACTAAAGGTGTACAAACGAAAACTCTTGATGTGCAAACATGTGCAAACAATATGCAATCGTTTGAGCTAAAGAAAGTCTACTTTTTCAAATGTTGGGAGGTTAGTGTGAAGTTGTTTTTTCAATAACT